AGATTGCATTTACCACAAAAATCAGAAGTTTTAGAAAGTCGGACGAAAAGTCGAGGAAAAAAATCTGGGCAGTGAATAGTGTCATCCCTATGGTGAATAGTGCTATCCGTACTGATGAACAGTGACATCCGTATGATGAATAGTGTTGTCCATGTGATTTTGGGACTTGTTTGTTAGGCATTTGCTATTATGAATATGTATCTCTTATATGTTTGGTGTGTGACAATCTTAGAGTTTTCACCAACAAGGGAGACCAAGGGTTTAAAGGTATAACATAGGGTTTCAGCTACGCACAAAGAAAACCTTGGATTACACCTTGGGTTTGAGTGATTCATATATTGAGAGTTGGAGAGGTAGGGAACACTTGGGTTGAAAATAGGGTTGTTCTTGGGCGCCTTCAGGGTTGTTCTTGAGAACCGTAAGGCGAAGGCTATTTTCTTGTAACTCATTTGTAATGTCTTGTAATAAATTTATGAGTATAATGAATTGGAGAGTTGTTCTCTCCCCCAGAGTAGATCGTTTGATCGAACGTGGTAAACAAACCTTCAGTTTTTTCTTACCTTATTCTATTATATCATCTGTGTACAAATTACTATTGTTGTAGACCATTTATTTTGGTTGCTATTGTTCTTTGTCTCACAAATTGATATTGAATTTTGTCGTAATTCACAACAAGTGGTGCAGTGAGTGTGGAGCAAAGATATATTATTAACAAGTGAGCACCATGGTTAGTAGATGGCAGATCGAGAAATTTTCCGGTAACAACAATTTCGGGTTGTGAAATTAAGATGCAAGCAATTTTAATTCAAGAGAAGTGTATCGATGCTTTGAAGAATAAAGCATTAATGCCTGCAGGGCTTACACAGGTACAAAATACCGAGATGGTGGATAAGGCTAGGAGTGCCATTATCTTTTGCCTCGGGGATAAAGTTCTAAGAGAAGTCGTCGGGGAGCAAATTGCGGTTGCTATGTGGGCAAAACTTGAACCATTGTATAGGAAAAAGTCTTTGGCTCATAGGTTGTATCTGAAACAACAACTTTATTCATTCCGAATGATGGAGAAATAAATCCATAGTTGAGAATCTCATAGAATTTCACAAGATTATCGATGATCTTGAGAATATTGAAGGGAAGATTGATGATGTGGACAAGGCTTTGCTCCTCTTATGTTTATTACCCAGATCCTTTGAGCACTTTAAGGATGCCCTTCTTTATGGTAAGAAAGTACTATTACTTTGGATGAAGTCCAGATGGCGGTGAAATCCAAAGAATTTTCAAAGTCAAAAGATTTGAAGATTAAAGATAGTGGTGAAGACTTAAATGTGTCAAGAGGAGGAGGTGAGCGTAAATGGATGTCCAAATCAAAGAGGTCTGACAACTCAAAGGTCAAATGTTTTAATTGTTAGAAAACCGGTCACTTTAAAAGGGATTTGTTGTACCTCGAAAATTCATTCGAACATACGACCCTCGCGTTAAAGGCGCAAAAATGTGGTTCGACAGAGTCGCCACCGAAATTTATTTATCCTGAAGATATGAGAAAGGAAAATATCAAGAGAACCTTTTAAAATGTATGGAAAGGAACAAGGTCGTTGCAACCAACGTTCCGTGTTGGGGAGTCGGTTACACAAGGGGAAGGTATTAGCACCCCTCACGCTCGTTGTACTCAACAGGAACCTCTTAATTTGAATTGTAATGAATGTTAGCTAAGCTCGTTTGTTTTCTTCTCAATGATAAATATGAAACGGTATGGTAAAAGGATAAAGATGCTAAGGGGAAATGGGTGGTTATGGGATAGGGAGCTCGCCAAGGATTGGGGCCCTAGTGCCTACGTATGCTCATTCAGACAAGAATGAGAAATCATAGCTCTCGTAGTTCGACTACGGGAAAAGGATGGGGAAAACAAAAGATGGAGGGAAGGTAGACGAAATAATAGAGAAAGATAGAAGTATGCTCACCAAGATCATCGCAATCTTGTGCCTAAGTATCTCACATTCAGATGATAATGAAGAATCAGAGTGTCTGTAGTTCATGGAGACGACCATGAAAAGAGAGGGTTGAATGGTTTGACGTTTGGTACGGATGACGATTACTCGTAGCTTAAGAAAGGTTCCTCGGACCCAAGTAATCGAGAGAGTGAGTCAAAGACTCGACTCTCTCTCTTTTTCATCTTGAAAAGAATTTGCATTTGAATGATGTTTGAATAATGAGTGGTTGGATGATGGTTGAATATAGTCAAGTTGAAAATGTTTTTAGTGGCGTCAATTGCTCACACACGAGTAAGATAACCCACATCCAAACAACTGAAGGGAGATCAAAGGCTCAATCCCCCTCTTTTCACCTTGACAAGAATTAAATAATTGTTAATTGTATTGATAGTTTGATTGTGAAAATCCACTTGATGTTGGGTCAAGGGTTTAACTTATATTTGCATGCAAAATCGTGGTGAGTCGAGGGTTTGGTTGAAAATGTAACCGGCTTGACGACGAATCAAGGGTTAGGTTGTGAGAAACGACACTAGTCCCTGAGGGTGCTCCTAATAACCAAACTACGATGAAATGTGAAAGTGTGTGCGATAGGTTGAGGACGAATGCGGACGAGCACTCGACTTACGGAGTGTGTTTAAAAATGGCTCGATGACGAATCGAGAATTAGTTTGAAAACAATTTAGTCTACGCTAATCCCTAAGGACGCTCCTAGAAGATAAACCACAATCAAAGAAATACGAATACGTACATCGGAATGTGAAAGGGGTACATGTAAGTTACACGGGATTACACGAAATAAAAGGGTTCATTGCCAGGTAGCCCAAGAGGAAGTCGTGTGTGTGCAAAGTGTCCTAAACTAAGCCTTGAGCAAAAGTCAGAAAAAACTCACAACTAGGGTTTCTGACAAAGTCCAATGATCCAACATTCCACCAACTTAGGATTTCATTATTTCGATAAGTGTTTTCGAATATGTATGAATATGAGATGAATATGAACATGAATATGAACAATTATCAATAATATGACAAGATATATAATAATATAACCAAGATAATATCCACAACAATAAAATCAAGATAATATTAACAAGTATGTGAACAAGATAATAAAATCAAAATAATATCGACTGAAAATAAAACAATTGTATATTGATGGAAAAGTAAAGCAAGAATATGTTGACGGAAAGTAAAAGTTAGTCATTAGTTGATTTGTGAATTGAGTCGAGATAAATGTAGCGTTAAACCGTCGTAGCTCGATTTATGAAAAAAGTCGAACTATAGGAGGTCACGCAAATTGATATTCGTGCTAAAAACAAGATAGAGAAATGATATTGAGGATCATTCTCCAATGTAATCGTGTCGCACAGACCAAAAAAGGGGGAACTCGTCTTAATCATAAACTCGTATCAATTAATCGAAGGTAGCATATCACGATCCCAAAGTATAGAAAATGACCCCTATGGTCATTTTCCACATAATTGACATAATGAAGGTTATCAACCTCGATAAATCAACGTTTACAAATCTAAAGACTTCATCGATCGAAAATGAAATAAAAACAATAATGAGAATCGAGAAGAAAAGAGAAATAAAGTCAAAGTAGAAAGCGGTTTAATCTTAACCATGAATTTTTATCGATACATTGTAAATCCATAATTCTTAGATTTTCATCGACCAAGAATTGAAGATGGAATCGGGACGAAAAGAGAAAATGAAAATCAAAGTAGAAATAAAAAAAATAATCAAGAAAAATTAAATTTAACAAGATATTAATGAAGTATTAGCAAAGATTATTAAAAACTTAATATTAAACACACACAAAAAACCAATAGTAAAAAGTAAAACAAATCAAAATTCAAAAAAACAAAAAGGGAAGGGGGTGCTGAAACATTAGGGGTGCCTAACATGTGGAAAAGAGGAATCATATGGGTCTGAAGCCAATCATCCACATGACTAAAAACCAACACGGTTTAAAAACTACATAAAGGGGTAAGAAGCAATAACAAGGGTGTAGGATCCAATACCTACGGGTTCTCCGGACGATTATTATTAAAAGTTTATCAAATCAAACAAGAAAAGAATGCACCTTAGAAAATATAAGGGATTTATGTGATTCAGTCTCAATTTAGCTTCAAAAGCTCAACTCGTGATAAAAGCTTTCATCAGGTTCTTGGTTAGTCAGAGGATAAAATCAATGTTAGGGTAAAGCTTAACCCGTGATAAAAGTTTGGATAAGGTCTGAGATTAGCTCAATGTTAAAATCTCTCAGGTTATTAGTTAGCCCGTTTAAAATCAAAGTTTAAGGTTTGTGAGCTTAACTCGCGATAAAAGCTTACAAGGTTTGTTTAGAAGCTTGAAGACTAATCACTTCAAGATTCGTGTGGAAAGAAGACTAACAGTTTCGATCTACCGTTTGTGAAAAGAGGACTAACCACTTCAATCCACCGTTTGGAAGATAATACTTTAATTGCTTTATCCTAAGTCTTAATGTTTATGTTAGAAGCAACCATTTTTCTTGTACAAGGCGGTTCGAGAGTATTACCTACTAAAAACTCTCAAAGTTTATTGAATACTCTCAATATTAATTCTTGAAAATATGACTAAGTCGTTTCTTATCTGAACCTATATAATTCTTGATGTTCTTCTATCTCCCTTAATTCTTTATTTCTTTATTTCTGCAATTTATTTTTTACTATTTTATTTTGCACTGCTTAAATATTTAAAATGTTTTTACACTTTTATTTAAATCTGTAAAGTTTTTCAAAATCATATTTTTAAGATCACACCATTCAAATATCCAACAATTGAATCTTTTATTCAAAAGAGTTAATCACTTATGAACATTTAATAAAAAGACAAAAGAGTTAATCACTTATAGAATAATCACATTGCAAAAATAAATATTTCTCTTTGTCAAATGCTCCATATGACATGAGATATTTAAACATACAGTGAAACAGCAAAAACCCTAATCTCGAAAAACCCTCATTTCCCTTCGTTCTCCCTCCGATCCATTATGGCGAGAGCTGTCGCTTCTTCCTTCACACGCCTATCCACGCATTTCACAATGCGCATTTTGTCCACCACCACTTCCGCCGCCGGCGCACTGTCTAAACCTTCATCCCTCACATCCCGTCGTTTTATCCTCCCTGTGTCCCAAGCCATACTCCAGTCGCTTACTCCGACAGCCCATTTCGGAGTGAGCCGCGCCGGTTACTCGTCCTATTCGCCGCTAAACTCGGGGTCCTCCTCCTCTTCCTCCTTCAGCGACCGACCTCCTACTGAGATGGCCCCACTCTTCCCTGGTTGCGATTACAACCACTGGCTCATCGTTATGGACAAACCCGGCGGTGAAGGTGCTACCAAGCAACAGATGATTGATGCTTACGTCCAAACCCTTGCCAAAATTCTCGGAAGGTACATCACTTTTTATGCTCATTTATTTAGGTTTTTATTCTTGCTGTTAAAATTTACGCATTAGATCTTCAGTTCTGTTGTACAAATGTATGTTTTGAATACCTAAATTTGGTTTTAGCTTGATCTGAGTTACTGTTTCTACATGTTTTTGGCTTTTGTTTTTCAATTTTGGTAATTTGGTTTTCAGCGAGGAGGAAGCTAAGAAGAAGATTTACAATGTATCTTGTGAGAGGTACTTTGGATTTGGCTGTGAGATTGACGAGGAGACTTCTAATAAGCTGGAAGGTATTTCACTATTACTCTGTGAATAAGCATTTCAATAAAAATAAAAGATTTATGAAGCAACGTGTATTGTATTGTTGTTTTGATTTGTGCAGGGTTGCCCGGAGTTCTGTTTGTCCTCCCTGATTCGTATGTTGATCCAGAGTACAAGGACTATGGTGGTAAGGATTTAGTGCTTTTTTAAATTTTATACTTGAACTGTTTTACCTTAGTTTGTTAGGGTTCACTTCTTTTCGATCTTGTCAAAGTTATCTCTCATTCCAACTGGTAATGACTAGCTTTGAATGCTAATGGACTTGAAAAATCCACTCATTACCTGTTCTGTTGCTTCGCAGATTTTGTAGTGATACATTAAATCACTTGGCAAACAATATTGAAATGTTTACCTTTTTATTTCTAAACTATGTAGATACAAGTCTCTGGTTTTTGACATTTATATTGAAATGTCTTGTGTAAAGGAAATTATTGTCATATTGTTCTTCTTCTAGTTACACACTTGGAAAGCAATAATCAATAACATGGAATATGTTTCTCAGTAGTCCATCTTGGATTTTCTTAGTTATACTGTTTCTACATTTGGTTTTAGCTTTATCTGAGTTACTGTTTCTACATATCTTTCCTGCTTACTTGCTCTAGCTATACCGTGTATTGTTGGATTTTCTTCTTTTTAGTTTTGTTCGTGTCTACCCAGGCTAATAATTATTTTGAAATTATGATGGTGCAGCTGAATTATATGTGAATGGAGAGATTGTTCAGAGACCACCTGAAAGACAGAGAAGGGTGGAGCCACAGCCACAAAGGCACCATGACAGACCAAGATATAATGATAAAACAAAGTATGTCCGGCGCAGGGAAAACCAGAGGTGAATTGCCAGTTTTAATCAAGGAAAGGGACCTGATGTACATAATGTGGATGTAGTGCATTATATACAACTTCCAAAGTCATGCTTATGGAATTCTTGTGGTGTTAACTGAATGTGTGTGTAACTGGACTTGTATCAGGTGGATTCCTCTTTGTTATTGTTTATTCCTAAGAATAGAATCTTTATCATGGTCCTAAAACAATTAAATCTTTTTAGAACCAAAAAAAAAAAAGAATCTTGAGCATGCATATTAAATGTTCAAAGTTGTCAGAGTTAAATAATCGATTCTCCCTGGCATGAAATATCAGCTGTTACATGTGATTAATTTTGATGCTTTTATAAGCTGTTATTGTGAACATCAAATTTGTGTCACAGTTTTCGCCAAATGTTTTAGTAGAGGTAGAGGTAGGGAGTAGCGCGTAAAATTTACTTTCACTTTAAGTAGGTAGTAACATGATAATCTAGGTCGTTGAAATTTCTTTCCATACTTGCCATTGTCCTTTTCACCCCATATTTCATAAATTCAATCGTGTATTAATAGCTTTAAAAGTATCTAATTGCTATGACTAATAAGTTTAGTGTTTTTTAATATTGCTGTGAAAAGTTTTAATTTAGTTGTTTCAACTTGTTATTTGACACTTTTTTTTCACGGCAAACCACAATTTTGGGTTTTAAAATTTTAACCGTTGAAAACAATTTGGGTCCACATAATTTAAGATCCTTTATCTTAGAACATCTATTTTGGAATTTTAATATGTTTATAATATAGGAAGCATTAATATCTCAAACAGGTCTACTTAATTTTTAATAATGATAAATTTAAGTACTGATATTTTGTATATTTAGAGTCTTTAAAATTTAATATAAACATTTTAAAGAAAACTATTTGATTTTAGAGAACAATTTAATATTTTGTAAATTGTGTGAAACTTACAATTTAGGAATTGCCAATTAATTTTGATGAATAATTTACTGTTTATTGCATACACAGTGACTTTGGAGAATCCCAGTAGTTATGTGCCTCTGCATACGAGATTCCATTCACCGTGATGCAACATTTCTGGTATATAAAAGTTAAAACAAACGTACCCCACACATCACTTTATCACCATTTCTTTTATAAGTACTAAGGTCATATTCATACAAAATTTACGTTATTGTGATAGTTTATTAGATCTTTATAGGGGTTAAAGCAGCAACTTTTATAGGACTAGCTAGGTTAAACAAACTTTACAAGCACATCAAAAAAAAAAAAAAAAAGACAAGAAAAGAATGTGTTATCTAAAGGGTTCAACGGGACAAGATTCATCAAGAAAAACCGCTGCCTCAAAGCATTCAGCAGCCTCCAATGCTGATGTTTCCAAATCATCTTTGTAAACAAGTGCAAGATTGTACCATGCAGATGAGTTTGTTCTGTCAAGCCTTAATGCCTCAATGAGAAGACTTCTAACAATTGAACATGATGATTGCCCACCAAGTTTTCTCAGAACACAAACTGTTGATATCAAACTCAGAACATCAAAATCCAATGCTTTTCTATATGATTTCAATGCTTCTTGATGTAAACCTCTTGCTTCATAAAGTATACCTGAAAATAAATCTAACTTATGATCTACTCCGCTATATGAAGAATATTGTAAATATAGTTAATCTCAACATGTTGAGCTTCAATAAATACCTGTAGAGTGCCATCTATTAGCAGAATAGGGACCAATGGTCTCAGATTGTACACACCATCTAACCTTGCAAGACACATTTATTCCCTCCAACATGATCCCGTCAAACTATAGTAGGGTTTAACAACACACTGAGCCATCACTCCACACTTGAAGCATCTGGGAGAAGCACAATTTTCTCCCCACTTATTTCATCCTACTCATGCAGTCTCCAGTCTCTGGCGTCTGTTGTCCCACCAAGCCTCAGTTTCACCTTCCAACATGTGAGTACCAAACTTCACTTTTTGCTCATCACTACAACCCATCGTTCTGAAAATTTTCTCAATTGCCTTCAGCCACCTCTGTGCAACTTCAGGATCCAGAATTCCTCCTTCAAATGCCGGTGGCTTATTATTTCGAAACTGTGCTAAATCGCCAAATTGCGCCCCCGCAGCTTGGTTCTGATTAGCAACCACCTGCGCCATTGCTTGCATAGCGGCAGCCAAAGCAGCATCATCCCTTCCTGCCATACTGCTTAATAATAACAACACAAGGTTAAAAGGTACATAACCTCTATCCTAAGGACAGACTCAACTACTACACTAGCCGGACGGATCGACCTTCTCTAATACCAATTGTAACACTCCACTTCCCAAAATTAAATAAAATACAAATATTTCAATTAAACATCAGAGTTTCCTTTCAAAAGTGGGATATCACATCCAAATAATTCAACATACTCATCATTAGATGGTTTTCAAAATAAAACAGCGGAAATTATCCTTAGTCAACATTCACGACCATCCGCCAAATCACACAAAAACATTCATTAAAAGGTTCACCAAACTTGATACGTCACAGGAAATAAAACAATTCAACATGAAGCAATTAAACGCCCAGATCCCGTGTTACGTATCAGAGCATCCTACAACTTGACTCGCACACCACTATCCAAACTAGCTAAGTACCTGGATTGTCTATACCTCCGAAGAAGCACAGACCACAACAACAACAAAGGGGTGAGAAAACATGATCAAAATTATTGGTAATACAGTACATGAAATAAAGGTAGTAATCATATAATTCATCACCCAACATTCATCAAACACGACCTACTGTCCAACATCAACACAACACACCATAATGCAATTATGCAACTCAACACCATGCATGCGATACCGACTCATTGGTTCATTCAATCGAATCCCGGATAGATCACATACACCCGTCCTTGGCCATGATCTATCCCCACCATTCTCCGCAATGGAGTACGGATGAATCACATACACTCCTCTTGAGCAATGATTCATCCCACCAAACACCATGATATGCATACCACCAAATGCACAATAAATGAACTCAAGCACACTAAGTGCACACGATCCTCTGATCACATCACCATACAATATATACATATTACACACCAATTTAATCATTTCAATATCCTAACATAAACCATTGCATAATCAAATCAAATCATACACACCAATGTACAACAACTAAATCCAAGCACACTAAGCGCACACGATCCCCTGATCACATCACCATACATCATACATACGTATTGTTCATCAATTAATCATTTTAATTAAAGTCACACGATCCTCCTGATCACACCACCGTACCTCATACATATATCACACCACCAATTTCATTATTTCAATTAATATTCAATACTACACAATTTCCCCTTTTAGCACCAAGTAAATAATCAGTAAATCATCTCAATTAATCCATGTTTTAGTTAAGATTTAATTAAACAATGACTCCCCAACATATTGGATATAAAAATATTTGGAAACTAATTATATCATCTATACTATGTTATAGATCTATTCATTAGCTTTCCAACGCTTCGAACGGGAACTAAAACCGACTTACGGATTAAAAGTTATGGCCAAAATCGTCGGAACAGAAATTTCCAATTTTCAACTTTTATACAGCATGCAATCGATTGCTGTATTAGTGAAATCGATTGCTTGACCCAATTTTTCACATTTTAGCCTCTGTTTTGCTGTGCAATCGATTGCTGTACTAGTGCAATCGATTGCTTACTGTGTGTTTTCGAAAAATTAAGCAGAAAATTGTATTTTTCACCAACCCTTCCCTCTTTGCTACCACAATCAATCCCCGCATATTAGGGTATTCACCAAACTCGAAAATCCACTAAATCATGAGTATTCTATGGATTTTCTTCCTACATGAACTTCTACTCATTCACCATTAATCCACAATTTCAAATCTAGGGTTTTCTCCCTACATAAACTTCTACTCATCCATCTATCCTCTGCCCTATCATTACTACAACTATCACACACTACTCTAATCATTTTCTCCCTTAAACTTTCTCTCTGGAACCAATATTCGTGTTCATCACTACTACTGCAGAAGTTACACAGAACCTCACCAATCTCACAACAGCACATGTCCAATTCCATCAATGGCAGCAATACTCATAAACACATCAATGTACACGAAATTCATCATAACAGTAACAATTATAAACACATATTCACCAATTCATCAACATACAAATCATGCTTCTCAAAATCCCTATGGGGTTAAGGAATCCCCTCTACCCAGTTCATGTAAATACCAATCCCAATCAGTTTCTCCCCCTTACCTCGATTAATTGCTCAGATTGTTGAGGAATCTTGAAGAATTTGGCAACCCTAGCCTTCCTCTCTTCCTCCTTGCTCTTCCTCTTTACTCTTTCTCCCCAAACTGTTTATCGTGTTCTCTTTCTCTTCTTCTCCCAAAATTCCCTTTTATTACTTATTCCAATAATAATAATAATAATAATAATAATAATAATAATATTATTATTATTATTATTATTATTATTATTATTAATTATTAAATTCTCACCACTATTAATTATATTCTATTACTATCAAATTCTATAGTTATTAAATAATCCTTACAGTCTAAGGGCACCCACCAACGAACTTAGACACACCCCCACATAAGGACACACCAAAATAAAATAATACCAAAAAGACTAAATAATTAAAATGGGTGTGTCGCTACTGCGAAAATCGGCGCCGGCTGAACAGAAGAGTCGCCACCGTGCGTTATTTATCCCAAAGGAGGGAAAGGAAACGCTCGAAGTAAACCTACCGCAAAGATGGGAAAGGAATGGTCATCGCAACCAAATCCTGGATTCGGGAGTCGGTTACGCAAGGGGAAGGTATTAGCACCCCTCACGTCCGTCGTACTCGACGGGATCCACGCTTGCTTGGTTTGTCTAAAGGATGCAAAAACAATCGATCTACGGCTGCTAAGTCTACACAGAAAGAAATTGACTCGATAGAGTGTCGCACTCTATGCCTACGTATTCTCAAGAGAG